TCCTTTTAGCCTCTAGCTCCACGATTTCAGACTGGACTCTCCTCTTTGGGAACTCCTTCTGTGCATTTCTACTCAGAAAATTGTGCTCTTGCCTTCTTTTGGCTGGCTTTTCAGCCACAATGATATTGGTCTTCTTTCATATACCTTTTTTTTAGTTTTTCTTTCTGTTCTTTTGCCACAAGTTGATAATTGATTCCTATGCAAGTGAAGATACAGATACATACCACTATTAGGATTATTCTATACACAGTGTTTGTGGTTTTCATAAATCCCACTGAAATGACATAAAAGCTGTGGACCTAGGAAACAGGACACACAGTAGCCACCAGTCCCACAGCAACAGGGAACCTCTGGTTTCCAACAATTCCCTTTTATTTATTTTTATTTTATTTTATTTTTTAAAAGATGACCGGTAAGGGGATCTTTACCCTTGACTTGGTGTTGTCAGCACCACGCTCACCCAGTGAGCTGACCGGCCATCCCTATATGGGATCCGAACCCGGGGCCTTGGTGTTATCAGCACCACACTCTCCCGAGTGAGCCACGAGCCGGCCCCCAACAATTCCCTTTTAGTATTTCAAATAATACTGACCTACAACAGAGATACAAAATCCAATATAGCTGGTGGTTAAAAGTGATAAGACACACCCCATTAGTGATCATATGAATATTAAACTCAAGGTATTCCCCACTTCGTGTTGGCTACACCTTCCCATGGAAGGTAGCACTACCATGTCAACAATATGCTTGTTCTTTTGTAATGCTGTCTTATTCTCTATGTTTTTTTTCAATGATCTTATATCTGTAATAATCTTAAACTCATATTTCTTTATTCTGATTTTCTTGGAGTGATAATCCTGTTTCTTGATTCCACTTCTATATCTGAAAGCTTTTAAAAGCAAGTAAAAGAATCCCCAACCAAAAGTGGTATAAGGACTAAGGACATTTTTTACACTAAATTTGAAGAAAGTAGTTCTAGGGTTGGATCAGCAACTCAATTCAAGGACCAAGGATTTTTCCCTTTCCATATTGCCATTCCCAATGTGTGAGATGTCTCCCATTTTGATCACTAGCCAATCACATTGTCACACATCAATATAAAAAAGCAGGAAGAAATGGGAAAGTGACCTTGCATGTGTCACTATTAAGGAATAACACCACTCTTGGAAAGTATCCAGCAGACTTCAATTATGTATCATTGGCAGGACCTCAGGTACATGACTCCTAAACCAATCACTGGCAGAGGGAAATAGGGTTCCCACACTCCCTGTGGATATTACTATCTTGAAACCAAATCAATGCATGGATTTCTCAGCAAGAAAAGGATATGCAGAGTTACCAACGATTGCCATAGACCATGATTACAAACTGTTTTCAAGCTATCCCATGAAGCTCTGCCTGTGGGAATCCCCTGCACTCCGAGTGGGACTGTCCACCCTGACACTGTGTTTGGCTTTCCATATGCCAGCACCAAACTATCACAAGCCTAGAGCCAGTTTTATATTAATTTGATAGTTTGAATGTTGCTGGACTTTTAGGTGTGAATTGGGACCCTAAAATGGAGCATGTTGCAAACATAAAATATATTTTGCATAGTCTCCAATCCACGTTTCTTTGTCCTTTCCTTTTGTTTTTGGGTAGACTTTTCCTACTTCATCCTTTTATGAAGGGTGCTGCCCGCTTAGGTCCTGCCTTTAGTGCAGAATTTGCGATCCCAACTGATTCATCAATTTTCCAGAGTCTTAAAATTAAAATCTTGAATTTACTGCCATTTAAACTGTTGTCTGCAAACCAGTGGCAGTTTGTGTACATTTATAAACTTTAACAGGCACATTACATTGTTATGACATCTGAGGGCATAGTGAGCTCTTTGCACTGAGAAGGGCACAAACTGCATACCAGACTTGCACTGTAAGTCTGGTATGATGTCCTGGGAAATAACTACTAGATGAGATGCAGTAGTCCACAAGTCTAACCATGAATTGGACTTATGTCACAACTCCATTTTGGTTCATCAGGTCAGAGTAGGATGATCTATGAGGTCCGAACCAATGTATTCAATAGCCTCTGAATGAAGCTACTTGGGTTAAGAGTCCAGCACCCTGAAAACGATAGAAAACAGGTTCACATTACATCCTTTCTTGAAGGTCCTATGGCTAATTAAAGGAACATGGCTCTTTGAAGTATGCATGCTGATTTGGCTAGGGGCCATGAATCTCAAGATGCCTCTTATAACAGATTTTTTATTTTATAATACAAACAAAACCTTAAATGGGCTGAATTCCATTCTTAGAATCTACAAATAACAACCAATGCAGATCTGATTACCATACCAAACCCACCTCCCTATACTAACCAAGGGACCCTACGCTACTTGTTAAGGGCCATTACCAGTCATGACAGATAGTATCCTCCCAAGCAGAGATGATGGATTCCACATTCCCAGCCTAAGGAGAACAGCTCCTACTGTCAGTAACACATTTCTCAAGTTCCTGATGGAGGGAGAAAGTTTGGGGTCTTGGAAACGCACAATGGATCCAATCCAACAAGATGTCACAAAGCATTACAGTTGTTTATTCTATATTATCGCCAAGTTTCTGACTCTTGTTCTCCCTATGTCATGGGCAGTGTTGAATCTGCTCTTGCATTAGCCAGTGTAGCTGACTTTTAAAACCATAACCACTTCTGGGTATTAGCACACTAAGTAAACACTGAAAGTAACTCCCCTTGACTGAACACCCTCAAAAATAATAATCACAAGTATTTCCCAGAAGTCTTGGTTTATTACTAATACCTGCAATGCTCTGTGATTTCTACATTCTATCCCAAATCAGCACTCCCATCCCCAGGCATTTTCAGGGTAGATTATGATTACCAGACTGGAAACGAGGAGGCATCGGGTACCAGCAGTATTAAGCTTCCTCCTGCAGGGCCAGCCCGTGGCTCACTC